TCTATCCCTACTGCCTTACTGTTATCCAACCCCCGGTATTTGTGGGTTTGGATTTTGTGAGTTAATATTTTGCTATTTTGTTAATTGATTTTGGTATTTTTGTTATGGTTTCTGATTTTGTTTTAGATTTTGGATATAGTTTGTCGTTTTGAATTTAGAATTGTGAATTTTATATTAGAATTGAAATTAAAATATGTGATAATTAGATTAAAATTTGTATGAAATTTGTTTGATGATGATTATGTGATAATTTAAAAATTAGATAAAATTTTTAATTAGGATTATATTAATAATTAAATAATTAAATAAACTAATGTCAAATACTTATTATAAAATAATTTGTGTTAATTTTAATAAAATTTGATAAAACTTTATAAATTCTTCGTAGTTGAGATGTCTATAGATAAGACTTGGATACATTTAAGGAACTGGTTGTCTGATGAGTACTGGGATGGTTTGTGTGCTTTTATTGAGGTTGGAAAGAATTATGCAAATTCAATCGGGGGTATTAGTTGTCCGTGTATCAAGTATAGAAATCATGAGATGTTTTCACCCGAAACAGTGAAAGCACACATATGGGGTTTTGATACAAGTTACACCACATGGATTCATTATGGTGAAGTACGTCCTGCTGCTGCAGTTGTCAGTGACAGGTTTGCGACGACAAGTGGTTGCTAAAACTTCATTTGCAACGGCTATCTATTTTTGGCAATGATTTTTTGTTGTCGCTAATAGCCATTTTTCTTGTAGTGACCTCCAAAACTAAGGCTTAGTTTGGTAGTGTTGTAGAAAAATTGCTTTTAGCTGTGCTGAAGGAAGAAGCAGCTGTTACAAGAAGCAGCTGAGTATTTGGTAAATTGTAATTATAGTAGCTGTGCTGGTTCCAAAATCAGTGTAATAGCGTTTGGTAAATTTTGAGGTTGAATTGCTGTAGGTATGTAAAATGACCAAAATAGAAATGGTATGAAACTTAAATATATATAATTATTTTTGGTATTTAGAAATACTTGTTTAAATTTTAAAAAAAATAGTATGATTTTGAATATTTTAACAATAAATTTATGATAATTAATTCTTTTTTTTTTTTTTCATTTCTTCATTCACAATATAATTACAACTAAAAGGAGCATTAGTGACAATTACTCAGGGACAGTTGCAGTTTTCGAGTTGTGGAATTATTTTGTGCTCTCTCACTTACAAAGCTTGACAAAAGCTTGACAAGAACAATTGCAGTCTTGATAACGCAACTAAACACCATAATTATCAATTTTGGTAGAGTTCTTAAATTTGCAAGAAAATTTTAATATATCAAGACCATCTCCAATGCTATTGTTGATACCAATATTGATTCTATTTTGAGCTCACATATGTAATGTCATTTCAAAAAGAAAAGTTTCCAAATACAATAATAATTTAATAAGTACAGAAGAATCAGAAGCAACCGCCTATGGTTGTCTAATTTGCCAAATGTTGTGTGGCACTAATATTTGTATATGCATCAACCGACAACATATAGGCAAAAACAAATACAATTCTCAAATGTACACTAACAAAACTTGGACAACCCATGATGGCTGGTCATAGTTAGATTTTAATCCATAGGCCGCCAGAAAAAGCAGGAATCCATACACGGTCACTGGGCGTTGATAAATCTGTCCTAAGTTTGCTCCTCACACATCCGCCATCTTCAAAGCTTCCCCCCTCACAAGGGGGCTTAGCTGGGGGGATATAGTCATTAATTGCTCTAACAAAAGAATGCAACTCTTTCTGACTTTAGCCATTGTTAGACTCTTATCAAACTGGGGTTGTGAACATAATAACCGGGTATTGCATCCAAGACGAGCTTTGCCGCATCTGGAGCATGACTTAGAGCATCATAAACCTCACTGCACAATGAACCATACTCCACTTGCTGATAGAGAAACAATTTCAAATGCCTTCCATCCATACCAACACAAA